CTAATCAAGAAATATTTTCTGACTAATTAAAATGAATTAATGAAGACCTTTATCAGATACACATTTTCCTCAAGTTGTAACTGTAATTTCTTTGCTAACAGTTTCCATTCACACATTCTCACCTTTTTGCTTTCCAGCCAACTTTCATCTTCAGTGGATTAAATTCAATGACAATTGTTATCCATTGTCTTCTTGATTCCACTTTTTTTTATTCTTCTTCTGCCTGTATAGTGTTTTTCTTTGACTATTTTTATTCCACACTCTGTAACCCCTTGTATTTTAGTGGCTTTATTACCTTGCTTGGGGTTGAAATAATTAAAAATATATTCTGTTATACGATAAACAAAACACAGAATGTCACCAATATTTAGAAAAAAAAAGCAAAACAAGTGAATTATTGTTGTCAAGAAAAGTAGATATATCAAACACATGATTTATTTACTTACATTGATGGTTGCCCTCATCACTCAACACACACAAAAAAAAACTCTTTGCAATTTTGTTGGATTATGGTTCTATACACAATAACTAAATATCTCTAAACTGCTGCATATTTCCCTCAAGAGATAGTATTTTGATTGTCTACAAAACAAAACAAAAAGGGGAAAATGTTACTTCAGTGTTATTTTCTTTTGTTGGTGATGTCTGATTCTTACAAAACATTATCTCTTGTTTGAAACTGTCTTTATTTTTGTCTGGCAAGAAAACCAAGTTACTGTTTTTGTAAACTGAGATATCAAGAATATGGTACTGGACAAGGAATAAGAACAATAGTGATTTACCACCAAATCACCAAACAATAATTGTACTTGAATATCTTGTGTCTGAAAAGCATTATAAACTGCTGAACCAATTACCTTATTATCTTTAAAAACAAAAATAAAATGACTCCCAAATCCAGAAGACATGCTTAACATAATATCTACCAGTGCTTAAAAAAAAAAATTCTTCAAAGATTTCTTTTTTTTATTACTTCAGTTTTCCAGCATCATTTACTCATTTTAGTCTGGCACATGGCACCAAGATAATCAACTGAATAAATATGCTAAGAGGTTTTTCAGCAACCTTGATATATTTGGGAAAGATATTAGAATAATTAAGAACCTATGCTGGCAGCAAACGACCTACATATGAATAAAAAATGAGTTCAGCAGATATACAAAAATAGGAAAGGGTATAAAACAAGGATGTGTCTTCTCACCAAACTTATTCAACCAATACAGTGAGGCAATTCTGAGAGACTAGAAGTCCTACCAGGATTCATTATTGGTGGCCACAATCTGAACAACATAAGGTATGCAGATGACACAGTGTTGATAGCAGACACAGAAAGAAAGCTACAAAAACTCCTATAGAATTTAGTGAAGGAAAGCAAGAAGAAAAGACTAAATATTAACTGCAATAAGATACAATGCATGGTTGTTAGCAAAAGGGTGAATGCAAATTGCAAATTTGAGGTAAAAAATCAAACATGTGAAAATTTAAATATTTGGGAAGTTTTTAAGGATGGAAACAGTGACACTGGGATCCAAAGGCATATTGGAAGCATTCCAAAAGTTAATCACAGTATTAAGAAATAAGAAAATTCTGTCGGAAACAATGAGTACAAAAAGAATACAAAACTGCTGTGATATCTTTCTTCCTATATGGCAGTGAGTGCTGAAAAATCTTTGCAAAGATGAAGAGGAGACTTGAAACAACACAAATGTGGTTCTACAGAAGGGTGCTGAGGATACTGTAGGTTGAACATGTGAGTAACAACAAAGTTTTGAAGAAAATTAAAACAAAAAGCAAACTAATACTTAAAATAAAGGAGAGACACTTGAAGTTTCTGGGGCATATAATGAGGAAGGAAGGCTTGGAAAATTTGATACTCATGGGACAGATAGAGGGCAAGAGGGATAAAGGAAAATAATGCATAGCATACTTTATGAGCTTGAGTAAATAGATGGTGAAACAGGGCTTAGGAGAAATAACAGAAAGACAAAGTTTTTTAACAGATACAAGGGACAGGAAGGTGTGGAGAGTCATGATCATCTACATCCTGAGAAGACACAGCATATGTAGATATTAAGCACAGAAAATGTGGTTACTTACTCAGCTTAGTTTAGCTTTATACAAAGCTGCACAATTGGAAACACTGAAAATTAATTTTATCCTAACAGATCTGCCAAAGGAACTCAGAATCAGAAAAAGACAACTGAAATGTCTTGGACACAACAAGGAAAGAGGGCTTAGAGAATTTGACACTCATGGGTCATATTAAAGGCAAGAGAGCAGCAAAGAAACTATCTAATTAGCTTTGGTAAATGGTTGGAAGAACAGGGATTAGGAGAGATAGAAAAAAGACAAAGAGCTATAAAGGATAGGAAGTTGTGGAGATTTCATGTCTTATTCTTTGTGTAGCAAAGAGTTTTAATAGTAATTTTTTCTCTTTAAAATTTTCAAATAAGTCTTCAGATAATTCTGCAATTTATACTCAGATGACAAATGACAGAAAATATGACATGGAAATGTAAAGGCATATTGGAATGGCAAAAGATGTCTTCCAAAAGTTAAACAAAATATTAAGAAACATTAAATTTTTGTCAGAAGCGAAGAAAAGAATGCTGAAATGCTATAAAATATCAACCCTTCTATATGGCAGTGAATCTTCACAGATGAAGAGGAGGAAAATACTTGAGGTTACAGACATACTGTTACACAGAAAGATGGTGGGAATACAATGAACAAAACATGTGAGCAACAAGGAAGTGTGAAGGAAAATAGGAATAAAAAGCATACTTATACATAAAATCAGAGACAGTTGAAATTTCTGGGAAACATAATGAGGAAATAGGGTTTGGAAAATTTGACACTCACCAGATGTATTTAAGTCAATAGTGGTAGAGAGAAACAACAAGTAGCCTACTTAAATAAGTTTGTGTAAATGGATGGCAGCACACATACTGGGAGGGCTAATAAAGAGACAAACATTACTAAGAGAAACAAAGGATAGGAAGTTGTGGTGGGTCATGATTACCCACATCTTGAAGAAACACGGCACATAAAATATTTTCTCAGTATAGGTCAGTCTGGTCTAAGACCACAACAGTGAGATACAAAATAACAATCAACTCATTGCACTAACAATGAGTTATGAATTTACTAATCATCATTTTATGGCATTTACCATTTTGCATAGATAATTTTTCTCACTAGAATCAATCTTACATATTCATAAGTCTACCATTCATCTGTGCTTCAAATATTGCCGCTACATATTGTCTGGTGCTCCTGCTATATATTTAGAGATTCTTGATAAAATCTGAAGATGTTTGTCCTGACCTGACATCTCAGCAGCAGTCACTTTCTCACTCCTGTAACATAGCTTCCCTGTGCCTTTTCTATAAATACTTTCATGGTAATTATTCTGATGAACTTTCCTCTATGGTACCTAAGCACATTACTAGACTGGTGGCAGGATCTCATCATTTTATTGAAATGGATAGATGTAACCGTAAGTTCTATGCTAACAGTTTCTTCTCTCATACTTCTCACTTGTGGAACTCCTTTCCAACTTCTCACTTCCTAATCAACATTGATCTTCAAAAATTTAAATGCAATGTCAATCATTATTTTCTGTCTTCTTACTTCCTGTTTTTGTATTGTTCTCTCTCCTTAATAGTTTTTTTTTTTAATATTCACTAACATTCAAGTAAGCCTTTGTATCTTAGTGGCTTTATTGCTTTGCTTGGGGTAAAATGATTTTTTTAAAAAAGTCTGGCACAAGTTCAACAAGAGAGTGAACTCAATCCAACAAGAATTTGTGAGAACAGTTTTCTATAGAAAGTGCTCTATCTCTAACACATACAAGTGGTTGCAAACAAGTTCTTTGTCTGGCCCACTTCCCAAAATGTATTTCAATGATAGAAATCAGAATACTGATTTTGGGAAGTGGGTGGGCCAAGTACATTCTCATATTTTGAACAAATAACATAGTCCTCATAGCAAACAGCTTTATGAAAATGCTTTGGTTTTAGTACAAATTAACATTCAAATAAAATACAGCAATAAAATCTGTATTTAAAAATATATATTGATGAAAAAAAGTCCTTGGTAAAGCAGTAAGAATTTATAATAAGCATTGGATTACTGCATAAATTTGCACTTTGAAATGTTTCTTTCATACAAGAGATTTCATTGGGAATGATATCAAATATTAAAGACAACCTCATTACAGCATATTGTCAATTACGTTTGTTACATTGTTTACCTAAATGTTGACTCAGTAGGAACCTTTTTAACCTGTTGTGCATAAATCACTATCTCCCCAACTTCAGATGAAAATCTTTCATTCTGAACATTAATCAAAAGGTATATTATGATTTATGCTTAACGATGACACTGCTTTCAATTAGAAAAATATTCATTCAAGTCTTTACTTAAGAGTGGGGCATGGAGAATCTACACTTTCTACATCACTATTTTAATTTCATTTAAAATCAGCATAATGACTTTTATAATTAACTGATTCGTAATTAAGCGTCTCTAAAGATATATTAATTTTCAAATCCAATTAGATATCAAGGCTACAGGCACTGAAACCTTACAGCAGGATAACTGCTGTTTTTTTAATGCAAAGGTTATTTTCAAAATATGCAGATATTTTGTTCAGTCTCACCGTAATTTTTTGATTCTTACATCATGAATAGACAAAGTCTAAAATGAGTTTTTAGTTTCAAATGAAAAACCTTGCCTATAAAAAATAGATACAACCTTTAAGTGGACTTTTTGTATCGATATGACCTGAGTTATTTTTTTTGTTTTTGTTTTTTGCAGCCAGAAATTATTTCTAGATTGTAAGAATTTTTTAGAGATAATGATTTTTAACCCATAACAGAGAGGAGAAGATATTTGCACATAACTGAATAAATGAACCTGACTGGAATTGGAATTTGGCTCTTCAATTTTTAATTTTGAGTCATAATCTATTATACCACCTACACATCAAATCTTATGGCATCTGGTATTCCCAAGTGGTCACCCATCTAGATATTGACCAGGCTCAATATTGCTTAACTTCAGTAATCATACAAGAACCAGTGTTTCAGCATAATATGGCCATCAGCCTGGAACTTTTGTAATCATTGACATTCCAATATCATGTTTTTACTGATGCAAAAAGCTTTTGCCTAACTTTCTGCTGTTACTATTAGATATTGATTTCTTTGATTTTATCTGGATTCTGGTATGTCTTCAAATAAAAGCATGGATCATGTAGTCAAGAAATAAACACAAATTTAGTGTATAGATAAATTAGCATTATTATGAAAAATTGGTGGTTACAAGTTCTAAAATTCTCTTGGCTGTATAGAGGGAATGATAGGTCAAAGTATGAGAAAACATATCAACATTCATCATCAAATTTTAGCATCATCTTAGAAGAACAAAGGATGTGACAAATAAAAGAATGAGAATAACCTTGCTGGAGTTAGCTCCTTAATTCCCTAACTGTTTACTAGGGGTTGCACACCCTACACTATAAATACTCTTTTCTACTTTGCATTTCAATGGACACGTTTAAAAATGTGATCTCTCACAGAAATCCACATTTTCACCCACTTGTGGAAAAATGCAATTAAACACACATACACATATGTACGAACATTCACCAATATACAAACTCTTTAGATTCACACACAAAAACAAATGCTGTTGTCTTTCTCACTTGTAAATTTGTTGTTTAATAAATATATTTGTTGATATATATATACATTGGTCTTGTTTGTTTTCTTTACATCTTCAGTTGGACTCAACTTGAGTCTGCATTGTTCTTGTAGTTGGACCTTCTAGCAGGAATAAACAGCACATGTTCCTAATTTAACAACACCCAAACCCACACAGTCCTCTACAGATTGGTTACCTTCCTGACCACCAAGGCATCCACACATGTGGAAACTGGTCAACATGTGCACGGCCTAGCGAAAGAAAAAGTAATTTCTATTCACTTATCTGCGGATGATCAAAGGCCATAAAGTTGGTATGTTATTTCTTTGTTCTCGTTCTGTAAACATCCTCCTTTGGACAGTATGAACAATCATTTGTTTTGGGAAATATATAAATCTATATATGTATGTAAGTTGTTTGCCTTATTAAATGTTTTGTTTGTTACGGTCGCGTATCTCGTTTTTCTGTATTCGAATACAGTGTTAGTGTATCAATGGCTACGCTAATAGTAATATTAGTATTGGTGTGCTATTGGAAGGCTAAAACACATTATTCTTCCTAGCACTAAATAGCTGGTTTAAGCTATGACTGGCTAATAAATAATACTAATAACCTTCTTTTTGTGTATCATCTAAAGTATTATGCACAACATTCCTGAGGAAGACACTGAAAGTGTTAAAGAAATGACAACCTAGATCATCAAAAGGGTATAACTTAAAATTCTGAAAGAAATCATTTGTTGTAAATGGCAAAGAAATGAGAACAACATATTCTTGTACATCAACAAATAAAGTGTTCTGTTTCAAATTAATGTAAGGTTACTAAATGTGAAAGATACTTGCGAAAGGCTGAAAAATACTATGGCTGAAAGGTTTTGATAAAGACAAAGAAATTGGTCCAAATGTATCAAAGATTCAGATATAAAAACACCAGCGACAATAGTGGGAGAAATGTTGTAATAAAGACAACAACACTAAAGATACTAGCTACAAAGAACCATTTTGTCATAGCCACAATACTGTCTCTCAGAAATACAGATAGAAAGAACACTGGGTATACAGCAGATTAAATATTGTGATAAAAACAATTCTGAAGGCATGAACCCCACAAAAAAAAGTTTTAATAGCCACAATACTTTCTGTGAGAAATACAGATAGAGAGAAAATACAGTAGATGGAAGGTCATGGTAAAGACAATAAACATGAGGAAACTAACCTGAGAAAAATTAATTTTTAAATAAAAACATCTTTTGTCAGGAAGTTAGACAAAGAAAGCTGCTTGACACAAAATCAAATTCTTGTGTGAGAGACAAAAATGAGAAAACTGGTATGAACCTGTCTCTGTAATTCAGACAGAAACGAGACTGGAGGGCACAGCAGCTGAAATAGTGTGATAAAAACAAAGACAAGAAAACCTGGTCTTAAAGAATTTCTGTATAACTGGTTTAAAGATGAAAATTTGCTTTAAAAATCTGTCATTGAGTACATGACAATTACAAAGATATCAACGTGCTAAAAAAATGTCAGTTTATTCATTATCTTAAACTTTTTAGTTTTTTTTGCCTCTCTAAAGAATGAGCAAATGTTGATATCTGTACTTCAAGAAGAGGCAAAAGAAAGAAAAAAGATTAATGTCTAATTTCTTTTCTTCTAATGGAGTAAATTCTAATTACATCCGTAAAGTTGGTTAAACTGAATCTGGCATTGTAATTGTTCACACCATTCATCAAACTAGCCGACATTTCAAGCGGCAGAAAAATAACATATTTTGTCTGCTGACTTTAACAACTCTAAATAGATAAGATAGTCAGACCAAAAATATTTGTCCCTCACTCACAGATGGAATTCTAACAGACTGTATCTTCTGACTCTTCAAAACAAATAAATAAATACAATGAAGTATGAAAACAACATCATATTTTCATTAGATTGGAATAGTCATGTCATAAAACAGGGACAGATCTTTGTTCACTCCTGACCTCACTAATTCATATGCTTGAAGAAAGCACAACTGATGTATTTTTTTTTTTAAATATCTGAGTATCAAACTTTCCAAACCGTCTTTCCTCAATAGGTACCCTAGAAATTTCAACTATCTTTTTTTGTTGTTGAGTATAAGTTTCTTGTTTGTTTCCATTTTCTCTAAAACTTTGTCATCGCTCACTTTTTCAGTCCGGGGTATTCTCAGCATCCTTCTGTCAAACCATATTTCTGCTGCTTCAAGTCTCTTCTTTATCTGCACAGAAATTGTCCAGCATTCACTGTCTATAATAGTTCAATACTTTTTTCTTTGTTTCTAATGATTTTTTTCTTTTTCTTAATATTTTTCTTAGCTTTTGGAATGCTTCTTTCCCTATCCCAATGCACCTTTGTATTTCACTGTCACAATGTCTGTCCTTTATTAAAACACTTTCCAGATATTTAAATTTTTGTACTTGCTTGATTTTGATATCTCCAATTTAATTTGTCCCTTTTGCTAACAAATTGTAAATTAACCTTAAAATTATTTTTTCCTTTTTTTTTTCATTAATATTATAATAATGTATAAAAAATAAGAATAAAAACTGATAACAGAATCCAATAAGCTGACAGATTATCATTGTTTAGAGATTTGGGAAGAGTTTCTGTACACAACCATTCATTCATACATGATGAGAATAAAGCCTGGGTACTATTGTTTTCATTTCATTACTGAGAAGTACTAAATAAGAACTAGATGAGATATCCCTAGACATGGTCAGTGGAATGAGAATAATCTATCCTCATAGATTAAATAAAGGGTTCAGTTTCAAATTCCATCAAGGTTACCTTGATTGACAAGGAACTGAAGAAGGCCAGAAGGCACAACATCTGAAATATTGTGATGATAACAACAAAGATGGGGACAATAGTCAACATGTAAATAGTGTAAATAATGAATTTCTTGTCTTCATAAAAAAAAATAACCAAAATATGACATTGGTTAAAAGAGAGTTGGTTCAAAACAGATATGAACTAAACAGTTGGTACTGAGTTTCTTTTTTTTTTTTTAGATCATTTTGTCCCAAGGTGAGATTTTGTTTGACTTTTAATTTTATAAAGAAAATGTCACCTTTACTGTCTGAGGTTCTTATTATTGCTTTCATGTAAATGAAAATTTAATTAACTGCTCCAAGACAATCATTGCTTCCACTGACTTTATTACTATTTGATTTGCTTCTGTGGATGATGACCCTGGGGAATTAACATTCTCACAACATATATCATCACCATTCCATGACAAACTGCTTTCATCCTCACCTATGAAATGTTCCAAAGTATTATCAAATTCACAAATAAGAAGACCAAGGTGAGTTGAAAATCATATCCCATCAAACTTTCAAACAGAGTAAAATCTTTGAAAATCAGTATTCCTAGAATTTTCATGTGATTGAAAATAGGCAATTACACTAATTCTTGATTTTCTTTAAAAAGATTTTTTTTTTAAAATCAGCTGTTTTTTAACAGTAAAATAAAAATAAAAGCATATTCTAAACAAAACTAAAGTTCACTCAATGTGTTTTGTATGTTCTCATCCTTATCGATTTTCTTATTATACTAAAAGAAAATCATTTATACATCTGCATTCCTCAGGTAAATAATTAATCTAAAATGAGAAGTGGTTCAAATTCTGTAGAGTTCTGGATCTGTGAGTCTGGCTGTAGTGTAGACAAAGTCTTTCATTTTTTTAGATTAAAAATATCCAATTACACATACCAAGTTGATTAATATATATGATTCACTATGATAGATTCCTCTGCAAATTATTACAGCCACAAGTATTCATTTTGAAAGATTTTGTCAGCATTAGTGAACGATTCATTGCAACCAGACCAATTTCCTATCTACTCAACCCAAACCACAGAAAATGTCCAGCCGACATAACCTGACCATTTCTCCCTTTATATTCAAAGAAAGACTTACTTCAAATGACATAAATACACAAACTGCTTATCGAAGCCAATTTGTTATTTGAACTATTTTTATTTAAGTTGTTCTATGCATTGTGTTGACACTTCCCCTCATCATAATATTTTCAAATCTATAACCTTTTTGTATGTGTTTTGTACACTTTTTATAAAAATCTCCCTTAAATAAATATTCAAACCTAAATAGTTTCTTCCTTTTTGTCGGACTTACTTTGATTTAGGGTTAATCTCTTTTAGCCAAACAATTAGACTTAAGCTAAAAAAGAAAGAATAATAACAGGAAAAGGTAACAGGAAGTCGAGTCATCTGACCTAGAAAATTTATTTTCAGGGTGTTAGAAGCCATCAGCCATTCATAAGTGTGGTGAGAAATATATAAACATAAAGAATTATGTGTGTGTGTGTGTGTGTGTATATATATATATATATATATATATATATATATATATATATA